AAGACATTCATCAACAACACCCAGCTTCTCTGGGCCGGAGCTCATCTAAGATGGACTGATTGGAAGTGGGAAAGTGTTCTGTGGTCTGACGAGTCCGCATTTCAAATTGTTTTGGGAAATTGTGGACGTCGTGTCCTCCGGGTCAAAGAGGAAATGAACCATCCGGGCTGGTATGGATGCAAAGTTCAAAAGCCAGCATCTGTGATGGCATGGGGCTGTGTTCGTGCCAACTTACACATCTGTGAAGGCACCACTAATGTCGAAAGGTTTGAGAGAAACATGTGCTGCCATCCAAGCAACGTCTGTTTGAACAGCTGAAGGTGAACATCAAGCAAGAATGGGAAAGTTCATGATTATTTGCGAAAAACCATTATGCTTAACAGCCTCGACATTAAATACCTTGTCTTTTTAGTGTATTCGAGTAAATAGAGGTTGCACAACTGTCTGTGTCTTATGTGTTGTGTTCTATTATTTTGTCATTTTATGTTAACTGTTCTGTTGATGGCGGCGTCCCTCCTGTGGTTCAGAGGAAAGAAATTTCATCTGTGCTGTATGTTGCACATGTAGCACACTTGACAAGAAAGTTGACTTGAACTTGAACTCGAACTTGAACTTCATGATTTGCAAATCATTGAACTCTGTTTTTATTTAAGTTTAACATAACATCCCAAATGCATGTAAAAATGAACCAAAAGTTTATTTTACTAAAGTACACTAAAATGTACTTAACACGTATTAAATGCCACACTTAATTCTTTCAAATGCATATGTTAAAATGTCACGTTTTGTATTTTACATGGATGTCGATTTCAGTTTTTTTCTTGATTTTTTGGGTAGGGGGGTTGGCATTTATGGTTGGTGGTTAGGATTTTATTTGATTTTGACGACTGTCAAATACGATCTGTGCTTTGGCTCAATACAGGTTTGGGAAACACTGTTTCAGATCACGAGAGAGAGAGAAAAAAAATCCGCCACTGTGAACAATGTACTTCCTTTCAAATCGGTCTGGCCATTGCCTGCTTTGTGTCTTCCAGGCTTTAAGTGCTGATTCGGCTTCCTCTCGGTGGCACACAAGGCCCTGGTGTCCCGTGTGAGACAGGAAGTCAGGCCCTATGGAGCGTGACCTCAGCGCAGGAAGCCGGCCGGGGAGGGGGGGTGCAGGGGAGAGTTGTCAACCCCTCAATGTCATAGACGAAATCCAACGCACCCACTGAGAGTGAGCAAAAAAAAAAAAAAAAAAAAGACTCATGTTTAAAATGTGTTCTTTCGGTGTCTGCAGTTTAACTGGACCTGCCAGTCTGCAGGTCGTGGAGAGTCGGGTCATTTATAAACCCGCTCACTGCTGCACTGCAGTGCAGGTAAGTTGACATCCTACCAATGACTCAAAATACTTCCGTTCTCCACTGAGCCTGAAGATTTGATTTGTAAGTAACTGCATGAAATTGTACAAAAAATGTATTCAAATGTGCTCACGTAAAAATAAGGAATTGGACAAGCAAAGTAACTCAGACTAAATGTCACTACAAATGTACATGATCGTTCTAAAATGTGTACTAAAATGCGCTATTTATTTAATTGTCATATATGCACAAAAACACAGAATTCTCACAGGCACAACTCACAGTTGAAGAGTGTTTTTTAAATTTTTTATTATCATGAACATGTCCAGCATGGCTTTGTTAAAACACTCAACTACACACACAACACTAATTGTACAAAATCTTCAAAACAATCAGTCAACTAATTGGAATGTTATTAACACACACACACACACACACACACACACACACACACCCAAAAAAAAAAAAATCAAATATGACACAAACGACTGAATTGGGTCCTCGTGGTCCAAAGAGGGTGAGATGCTGACAACCATCGAGGACCCCCTGAGCGGCTGGCTAGGATAATGTGTCAAAAAAAAAAAACAACAACAACGATAAAAAGATACACCAAAATGCCCAGCGTCCTCTATTTTGCTGGGAGGAGAGCTGCGTTCAACACAGTCAGGTCAACGGAACTATTAGGACATCCCAAAAGGCTTCAGGACTGACCCAAGAAGGGCTTTTGATATTGGGTTTATCGCGGCAAAGGCTCACTCTGGTTCTCAGGCATTGAGAGTCGCCTTAACAAGCCTGCTAACTGCAAATGATGTGGACTCCAGTTCCAGATAAATGCCCTTTACAACGCAGGAAGCAAAGCACACACGGTTGCGGCCATATCTCATTTTGCTGCTGGAGAAATTTTAAGGACGGACGTCTCTGTGAAAGAGCCACATTTCCACCAAGCGGAACTGTCGGGTTCGGTTTGGCAGGGTTTCACTGTATTGGATTGACTCTGCCAATTCAAACAAGTACGACGAGGTGGAAATGTTACTCAATTTAGAGCCTATTAGTGAGAAGCCTGGGATAGCAACGACAGCGCAAGATATGCTGAACAAGCATTTCAATCACGTGGATTTCAGTCGTCCCCACAAGACAAGTAGATCAAGGTCACCTCACCGGGACTTTGCCGAGTCACCCTGATTATCTGGCGTCGACTGATCACGTCTGGAGGTGAAAAGCAGGAAAGAAGAGACGCGCTGGAGGTCTGCTTTTAGCGCTGATTAGCTGCCACCGGCCCCCCCCCCCTCACCGCGGCATCCGAGACGCACAGATGACACCGTTTCCTGGCAACCACCAGCGACTGCTTCCCGTCAACGCAGCACCGTGTCCAGTTTGCGTTCCCACCGCCGGGATCTCTGATGTATGTGATAATGGGTCACAAGCACGTCAGAGCTTTGAATGGGCTGGCAGAAAAGGTGGGGAGGCGTAACTGGCCTGACTGTCATGATCCCTAAGTGAAGGGATGAACTTGAAAGGTGTGGCTCGTGGACCCAAGGAGATCCGGGGGACATTAGCTTGAGAAGCCAAGAGCCTTGGGGGTAGGGCGGGTCGTCTGTCAGCGTTCATACTGAAGCCTTGAAAGTTAGTAAACACAAAGCGTTCCCACTGAAAGCTCAGGTTTCGTCCACAACCAGCCGCTGCTTGGCTACACGGGGAATTTGGGTCACGTGGCACGCAGCCAGGTTGTTCCCCTCTCCCACTAGCGAGCCTTGCCTCAGATCTACATACAGCGCTTGCTTGTTGCCCACCCCCCCCCCTTCCCCTCATTCTTTCCTTGTCTTAAAAGGCAGGAAATATTTTCTCTCCGTGCATGTGAAACCTGAGCGGCTAAGCTAAACTGCTCTGATAAAAAGATTCATTCTTCTGTGCTGTTCGTACCTGGAGTGGTAAATGAATGACCACTTGTGACAAGCGCTAAAGCTAACTACGCTGATAGCGTGGGAACCGCAAGTGCTAACAAGACTAACGTGATTCTGAAAAAATGTTCAAAGACATTTAAAAAAAAAAAGTGATTCCACAAGTTTCTTTTGCTTTTTTTTGTTTGTTTGTTTTATAAGGGATAAAGGCATCAAAATTTAAAATATAAATAACCAAAAAAATGACCACTTCAAATCTGAATGGTTTCCGCAAATGGCATGATCAAATTTTCAAAGCGATCCTCTGGTCTCACGTGTTTCGAACCAAAATGTCAGACTTCCCGTCTTTGTTGAGATTTTCTTGTGGGTCTGCTCAGGTTAGACATGCCGACCAAATTTGATGTTGGAAATGAAACTGGTTTCGGGGGCTGAATGTTTAAAGAATTCCAGGGGGTCCTACCAAGTCCATTCAACATGATGACGAGGCGGTAAATATGGTCTGAGGGAAAGACAAATGAAGACATTTTTGTCTTTGTTCTCACCACATGAAAGCGTGTTTAGGGTTCTCGGGGTTCAAGGTTTCGGGTCAGCGGGGGTCTGGTGGCGTGTGAGCACACCAGCTGTTTTTTTTTTTTTTTTAAACGAAGCGGATTAGCCGCCGTTCACATGAGATCCGGCTGGACCACCTCCCACAGCTGCGCCACCTTTACAAAAAAAGTGCCCGCTGTAAAAAGTCCATTAGAGGCCGAACGCAACATTAACGGCCGGGTTGCACTTATTTCGTCCTGTTGTAAACCCGCCAAGACGCACTTTGACCCCTCTTTCCCCACTCCAGTGGAGGCGACGGGTGGTCTTCCTGGGTGACTTTCCAATTCTCTGGTCTGTCTAAGAACGAGACGCATAAATTTTAGGCCGGCGCGTCCTTTTTAGAGAGTGTTGACAAGCACTTTTCAACATCTACCAAAGAAGGCAAAAAAAGTACGTGGAAGGTGGGAGAGCGGGAAATGAGCAGATGGTTTATGTCAACCCGGTTCTTAATTTGGTCAGACAGCCAATCGGGTCAAGCACTTGTACACAAGACTGCAATTCCACATAAATTAGAAGTGTCGCCTTCGTCGACCGGTCGAGTACGCAAAGTTCAAATTCATGAACAATGGAACAAAATCTCATTGAGGAGTTTGTCTTTGAAGGAGCTTTTCAAAAGCGAGTGGCAGTTTCAAACCACACTGGCAAACTGTCTTGGTCTTTTCAGGGATGGCCTCTTGAGGCTATCTTGAGGGTCAATCCATGGTAGACATGTCGACCAAATGTGAAAATGGCTTAAGGGGCTGGAATTTCAAACAAGCGCAGGTGGTGCTCCAATCATGCGTCCGTTTTCTACAAAGCCAATTGTTGGGGCCGAGTCATCAAGCTTTGATGCCGAGTGCCACCCAAGCGCAATGACCAAAACTAAAATGAGTCAATCGTCACCACTGTCCCCGTGTTTAGTATCTATGGTCCAAATGTGCTCACAACCGGACAAAATTTCAATGGCGGTTTGTCTTTGAAGTAAGAAAATGACCCAAAAATGAAAAATATTCGAGAAATTAAAATATTCTTTTCAGACATGGCTTCTTGAGACTTTTTAAAACGCATACGGCTTCAGGGGCTGGTCTTTTTTTTTTTTTTTTTAAAGCAAAGGGGTTGTCAGGCTGCCTCTGAATGTAAACTGAGTGTAGCCCAAAGACAAAAGTACCTCTCTCCCTTTTTTTTTTTTTTTTTTTTTTTTTTTTTTTTTTTAAAGCAAAGGGGTTGTCAGGCTGCCTCTGAATGTAAACTGAGTGTACCGTGGTGAGAGGTAAGAAGAAGGGTGGGGCGTCCTGGTTTCAAAATCACTCAGTCAATAATCACAAAAAAACAACAACATCAAAACCAATGAACACAAACAATGTGCAAACTTGTCTCGTATAAATAGACTACAGTCGATGCACCGTTGGGGGCAGGGGGTGGGGGGCACTGAACTAGTTTTCCTTGATGGATTGATTAGTGAATAGAATGAAGGTGTCACACTCAGCCACCTATGTGGCCTGCTAAAGTAAAAAAAAAAAAGTCTCCACTTCAAGTTTCTTGCTAAATTGGGCTGTGAATATTCATTGATATTAAGTCAGTATAGTAGACGTTTTTCAGTCTTAAAGGCCCTCTGAGGGAAACCAGAATGACGATGTTGCCCAGGAAACTGAGTTTGACACTTGAATCGCGATGAATCGACAACCCGTCCCTCACGATCCATCAATCGATTGTCATGTCCATCCCTAGTCAGCACAGCAAGCGCATGGATCTGTGACTGCCTGTTTCAATGAATTGCGGGAGGCTACGCCGAGCGTCTGTCCAGGGCTCAGCGTCCCCCATCTAAGAGTTGCGAGTTCAAACCCAGTCTTGCAGCGAGCGCTTGCAGTGCACCAGAAGCCTCGGTGCCCCCTTGCTCTGAAGCGTGTTGATGATGGCGTAGATCAGGCCCAGGATGCACAGCACCAGAACCAGGGGGATGCTCACCATCAGGATGTTCATGGTCCGCTCCTGGCTGTCGTCCACCTTCAGAACCACATCCACTTCGTTGGTGTCCTCCTCGCGGGTCTCGCGCTCGTCCTCGTCGGCATCTTTATCGCCGTCCGTCCGGTCGCCGCCTTGGTCCTCGTCGTCCTTGTTGTCAACTTTGTCATTGTCGTCGTCATCGTCGTCGCGCCCGGCGTCCGGATTAAACGGAGGCTGGTTGACCTTCGGGTATTTATCGTCACCGTCCGTGTCCGGGGGGTCCAGGTCCACATTGCAGCCCATGAAGTCGCGCAGGATGGACTTGGGGTAGCCCGGCTCGCTCTTCATGCGGTGATTGTCAAACTTCCAGTATTTGGAGCCCTTGTAGAAGTAGGTGTACGCTGGCCGAGACAAATAGCCACAGGATAAGACCACAGCATTGCCATGTTCCGATTAAATTTGGACAAGCTTCACCCCGTATCTCAAAAACTTTTACTGTATCGTGCTTTGCGTGTTGTTTAGAACATGAGCTAAAAATTCCCATTCCTTTCGGAGAATGGAGCGACCACTCCCTCCTTTGTTTCAGGTCTGGTGCATTTCCTCCCGCCCTCCCCCCAGCCGTCTTTCAATCACATCAATCTCACTTGGGCTCAGGAAGCACTCTGCTCGTCTTTCGTCATCTGCACTCACCTCCATCGTCACTTAGGAAGGCCCCCTTGGGAGTGGAGGGCACGGAAGACCCCCACACGCTGATGGGCTTCGGGTAGCCTCTGTCGGCAGAGCGCGACTGTTCGTTGAAACGCCAATACCTGCAGCCAAATCAAATGAAAAAAAATCCTTATCCTGGTGGATATTTTACAAAAAAACAAATCCATAGCAGCATGAACATGAACGGCATGATTTCAAGCGGTAAAAAGTAAAAAAGAAAAAAGTATACCAGGAATCGAAGCGAGGTCTGATGTGACAGACCTGAGCAAGACCAAGTCAGCTGGAGTGTTGTTTTGAAATGGCACTCCATTGCCAAAGAAAGAACTAAATAATGTCGATAGCACCGCGATCTTATCAGCGCCTTCGGCAGTTCTGTTTTTGTACCACAAATTCTTGATTCCTTGCAGTTCTAGGAACATATGTGTAGCAGCATGTAGGTGAATTCGAGGGCTGGGTTGTATTACCAATCTCCCTGAAAGAGGTAGGTGTATCCCGAGGGCTCCCACCAGATGGCCGCGTCGATGCGGTCGTAGGGGATGTCGTGGCCGTAGTGGCCCAGCTCCAGCGGGTAGCCTTGCTCCAGGTTGGCCTCCCGGAAGAGCCAGAATCGGTTTTCTGGAGGAACGACAAGAGAAGGTGGATTGACCCTTTGCAATCGAGGTGGGAGGCTGCAGTCACGTGGCTTGACTCGACTCAGAGCAGAGTAGCCGATATTAGCACTTGGCACTTGCTCGGCTGGAACATATCATAGACTCGACTTGACTTGGTATTCACAAAGCTCGACTTGAACTTCATGACTTGACAAGGCTTGCCCGCGGAATAGTTGAAAATCGTCATTGTCCGGAGAGACACCACGTTTCATGTTTTTGATACGTTCAATTGCAAAGACAAAATGAGAGACAATCAAGACACTGGTTGCGACCTTTAAAAAGATGCAACGCTAACGTGCAAGCAGATAGCGAGTGCCAAGTGGCTAACGTACAGAAATAAGACGTAAACGTTGTGACTGATCAAGATTGGACAACTTGGCTTCTGACTTGCTTAGCCCAAGTCATGACGTGACTTGACCGGACTTGTTTGAAATTTTTGTGGAGACGCAGCAAGGTGACCCGCTTGGCTTTCTGGACCCATCAATTCAGACTTGCTTGAAATGTGACGGTTATGAGCTGAGACGTACTCATGACTTTCACATTCGTAACTTGCACCTTCCTCTACAAGAATTACAAATTATCCGTCAATCCGCATGTAAAGGATACGATTGGCAAGGCCACATAGCAATTAGTGCGCCTGACGTCAGCCCACACTGGTTTATTGTTTCTTAAAACGGGGGATTCCACCATTCCTTTTGGCACGGCCACCCCCCATTTGGCTTCAATTCTAACCCCTCACTCCTTCTCCCTTCAAATCAGCCTCAAGCTTTCAAGTCAAAGCTTTACACTCAGCATCTGGATAGAACAAGAAGATGATGTCATGGTCATGGAGGTAAGATCCCGAGACTCCATGACTCTGTCACGTCCACCGAGCAAACGGTTTGATTTCTTCGCGCTGGATAACTTGACCCCCACCCACTCCAAATCATCCATTTTATGATGAAGTTATTTTGCTACTTTTCTAACAGAAAAAGAGACTCTACCTATGGCCTGGCAGCTAGACTGTCCAAATATCCACCCACTGGAGAAGATACTTCAGATCTGCACTTTTTTTTTTTTTTCACTCCTTCTCAAGGTCTGGCCGCTTTGATGTGCGTCCGAGTGTCACCCTGGGAGGCTTGTCTATGACATCACCCTCCTACTCTTGCTCCTCCTCCTCCTCCTCGTCTACAGTCCAGGTTTGGGCTGCAGTGTTGTAAAAATACAGGCTGCTCTCGGGGACTCGCCGTAGAAATAACGCGCCGCGCTCAGCGAGATTTACAGCGAATGCATTACATGTGGAGGGGAGGCGTGGTCCTTACGCCTTCAAGCTCCACAGTCTGTTATACATTGAAAACGTGCCAATGTACCTGTATGTACATAAAATACCTTGTACGGTATTTTGTCTCTGGACACATGGTGAGCACTTTTCAACACCAACCTCGCTGATCGACGTGTGCCGTATCGTGGGATAGAGCGGTGCTTCTAAAAGTGGGGTCCGGGAGCCACAGATTGGGGTCCACAAAAATCGTTGTTGTGTCCCATCATTGAAAGAAGTGCCTTTTCTTTCTCCCTACTTTAACTTTAAGGCATTCAAAAGCACAGATTTGATTGTGATGTATAAATCGGAGATTTGGTGCCAGAGTCTGGCCCAACAAATAATTTGAGACAGCTTAAGCACCAGAGCTACGGTTCAAGTCAATTTCGGTGGTGGACAAAGAAAGAAGTGGTGCTAATCTGGGTGCAGACCTGGAACTAACACGAGCAAAAGCGCATTGGAAAAGGGCCAGTTGACCTGTGAGGTTGCCTCTATTTGTGAAGCATCACTCACAACTGCGCAGGATCTAATTCTTGCATTTGATCTCATGAGGCGGTCTGAGCACGTTTCAAACGCACCTTTGAAGAAGACGAACCGGCCGTCGTGTCTTTCGTAAGCGGCGTCAATGTCTCCGGGCAGACCTCGCCAAAAGTGTCCGATGGGCATGGGGTAGTTGTCCAGCACCCTGTTTCTGCGCACCCTCCAGAACCAACGGCCCTGGTAGACACAAGACCATTCGATGATTATTTGTCTTACAGCGCAAAACTATCATCCCCGCGATCATTTTTGAACAAGGAGCGTTCCAGGAAGGCTAATAAAAGCAGCAGAAGAAGAGGGGTTGAATCTCGGTATGTAGACAGATTTACACCGCGCACGGCCATTTATAAGCCGGTGAGTCAGTCGCCGTGACCGTCCGGGGATAAAGTAACGGCCAGATGCTCAAAGGGACTTTGTCTTGGCAAGCGTTCCAAGATTCGTCCTTCGAGGGCGGGCAAGGAGGTCAGACAAGATTTGCGCTATTGCCCTCCCCCCCCGCCATTTTCTTGTCAGGATGAGGCGGGAATCGACCGCGGCGCAGCGAGCGGATCGTTGATGTTTTCGTTGATGATCGACTCGCCAGTGAGAATAAATGGATGAATGGTGGGGGGCGGGGGGGGGGGGTGCACGTCCAACAATTTCTTCAACTGTAATTATGTGACAGACATGTGAAGGACGCGCCACAGTTTGCTGCTTCAGCGCATCAAGTCGGCCGGCTTTGCCTTGGTAACGGAGCGCTCGTGCTGAATCATGTTGATTCACAAGGACATGGTAGCGTTATTTTTTTTCGATCATAAAACATGAAGCATTTACTGGCTATAAATTGGCTTTGTTTAGACTCTTTTAGGGCGAACATGTGCAGGGTCTGGTGTGTGCCAACCCGCTTCAAATGTTGGGCAGAGGTTTCTCTAAAATAGACTTGATGTTATTATTTGCTTTATTGCACTATTGACGTTCATGTGCGCACAAAAAAAAAAGTTTAATGTGCATTCAGTGGCAATTTTGCGGAACAAACGGTATTCAAAAAAATTGAAGGTTCTGCGAGTGACCAGTTGACAGTAACAAAGAAGAGTTTGTGTTCTTGAGTGTATTTAAGGGGCAAAAAGGTCCTACCCCCGGGTTCATTATGGGGAACACAAAGGATGCATGGTGAGCGTCACACACACACTCGCAAACATGCTTGGAGGCCGGACGGGCTGCAGATAGAGAGCTGTGGAACATAATGGCTCTCACTGTCACCAACACAGACAAGACACAAAGCAACTGGAACACGCTGCGACGTCTGCGGATGTGACACCTCTTTGTCCAGGTTGCTCAGTAGAAATAAAAGCAACAGCAGGTTGTGCTGCGGTTCATCTTTCATGGCCCTGCTCGACTTTTATGTTGCCGTATTTTTAAGCAATTTTGCTTTCTAATGCTTTTCACAGAATACGGGCAAAATTTGGGAAAATGTTTTGACTAGGGGTGGTTTAGCGTTAGCGCAATGCGTAAATGTGAACACACCTGGCCAGGATGGGTCAAACTGCAAAGCATGCAATGGAAAACAGCTGCCAAAATGCCAGCTGGCTGAGGCGAAAGTGGACCGTTTTCTTGGCGAAAAGCGAACTTCTTCACGTTGGTGTGGACGCAGAGGCCCTTTAAGGCCAAACACCTGACCACACTTCGGCGCTTTATTGGCGCGGCTTCTCGTAAAAGACAGCCGCCCTGTCGTTTCACGATCTCCGGCGACATGATAGGAAACAGGCTCGCCGCCTGAGCGCACTTGCCATTTGGATTCATTTAAATGTGCAAGGCAGGACGAGAGCTTTGAGGTGATTCGAACACAAGCACTGTTCGGAATTTCGTGGATGGTTTCCTGTCTTCATTTTGGGATTTTTTTTTTTTTTTTTGGCATTTGGCATTTATTTGATTGATATGAATGTTACGTGTCTTTAAGATGACATGCAATGATTTTGTGTGTGTGAGGATATATCGATATATAAATAAAATGTATTATTATATTATTATACACACACACACACACGCGCGCGCGCGCACACACGACTTTATAAAGATGGCTGAATGTATTTTTCTTTTTCTCATCTTAAATGTCTTTATTCTCTAACATATATTTTAGCTACTGTATATGCATTTTATTTATTTTGTATCTACAATAAATAGAAATTATACATTATAGGCTACTTATGTCTGTATTTATTATTTATTGATGAATATTAATTATGACCATTTTCTCCTTTGCCATTTAGTTCACAAGATTTGGAAATGTAAAAAGCGGACGCGTGCGAAAAAGTCAAAAGGAAGAAAGCGCCTTTGGTGTAATAACATACAAGATTGCCCTTCTTGTGACCGGGGTTTGAGTCCCGGGCGGTGCATTGTTTCTTTGGTTCCAATGTCACATAAACAAAAAAAAGAAAAAGGGATCTCAGGGCATTTGAGGTCCCTTTCCAGATGTCTAATTGTGTTCCTTTTGATTGTGCAAGTTGCCAGGTATGAGCGCAAGGACCTGCGAGTTGAATTTTACCTTAAAGACAAACATCTCTCCACGCAGCATGGCCACCGTATCAAAGTTGCCTTCGCAGATGTCGGGTCCGTAGTGGTCCGGTCTGTCGGTGGTCCTGGGCCGGTCCGGCTGGCGGGGAGGGGGATTGTGCGGCGGCCGGGGGTCCGGGCGGCGCGCCGTCACGGTCGGCAAGGCCTGAGTGGGCTTGTTGTCTTGTGTACCTGCACAATAGACAATCAGACTGTTGACGCCAGTTGCCCTCAGCCCAAAACTGTCCGGTAAACAACGACAAACAAAGAACAAGCACGTTTGTCTCGACCGAAGAGAAGGAGTAGCGAGCGCAATTCCGAGCGTCTTTCTCACCGTAGATCTGCTGAATGCCTCTGCGGTCGTCGTCGGGCAGCTGGAAGTTTTCCGTCTCCATCCACTGGTAAAAAGGAGCCATGATGGCCAGCGGGTTGTTGGAGTGCTCCAAGCCCAACGCGTGGCCCAGCTCGTGAATGGCGACCAGGAACAGGTCGTTGCCTGTGGGGGACCGACAAGCAAAGGATTTCATTGTTTTTTATCCCACACGAGCAAGATTTTAGCTATTATTTGGGAGGTTTGTCTTACTTTGGAGATTTCAAAAAAGAGATGTCTGTCTTTAATGGTTTCAGGTTGAAGTTACTTCCCCGTAGTGAGAAAGTGATGATGAAGATGACAGATGCAAATCCAAAATGTATTCCGAACATTGAGGTGTGTGACAATGAAATGTCTGTACCGTTGTGACATGAAGAACCCCTGCAAATTTTTCCCAGCTGTGCGTGACCCACCAAAAAAGGCCCCCAACCCACCAGTCGAATCAGAATCACTAGTTTACAGGCCGTAGCGTAGTCAACACTGCCAATATGGCCTGAAACGGCACTCAAGGGTTAACCAATGTCCTGGGAGGATCAACTCAATCTCTGTCTATTGAGATTTATTCTATTAATCCCACGGGGGGAAATGAAGAACATTAAACTTTATGCGACATGATAATGAACATGTGCTTTGATTCTAAAAACAGTTAAAGGGAGAATCTGGAAAGCATCTGACTTGATGATCTGGCTTGCATTCCAGCCCTCGGCGAACATCACAGCGCAGCGCGTAGCGAGTGGAAGATGGCGTCTGTTCATTGTTCTCACTCTGCGATGATGTCATCGGCAAGAGAGATGACCCACAACGCGAATGGCGGCCGATACGCATCGCACATTTCGCCGTCCGTCAAGGGCCGCGCTTGTCGGACACGCCGGATGGGAAAAAAGATGACGTGACCCGCGTGACCCTGTAAGTGATGTGGGGACACCCGCACCTCCTAATTATCTTTTAGCATTTGGCTGAACCATGAACTGAGCTCACTACTGGACATTGTTACTCCTTGACGGTCAACAATTTGGAGTTTGACCCTAATTTTCAGCGGTAATGCACCACAAAAAAATTCACTAATGGCTCACTTCATTCACTAGTCAAGCATTCGTGCTTCTTTCGTTGGCTTTATATGGTCTCACCTAAATTACTCCACAGAAGTATGCAAAAACAGATTTTTTAAAAATTGGTTCCAAAAGCCTTCTTTAACCCACAAAAACAACCCAATTTTTGAGTTGCTTTGGTTGTTTTGTCCAAAAAAAAAAAAAAAAAAAAACGTTAAAAATATCCCAATTTGGGTTCATGTTGAGATAATTCATTCACAACTTACTTTCTGGACTATTCTAATCCTTCATGTTTGCAGTAGGACGAGGGATGTTTTGAAGTCTTACTGGATGTGTTTCCTGGAAAAAGTTGTGTACTTTCGCCATGGGTACCAAACCATTGGGGAAAAGCGTGGGTGGTACCGGTAAAAGTGTGGGTGTTGAACCCTTTCCTATTTCCATTTTCTTCAATGGGGAAATCTTGTGTTGAACCTGAACATGTTTCACCATTTTGTTTGCGAATTGGTAGGAATGAAATCCCCATGCCTGGCTACACACTCACACACGCGCACGCGTATAATTTGTGAGTCACATGAATGTGGCCACATTAGCATTGCACAGCTAGCCAAGTGCTAACAAAGAGCCCAGACAACGAGAGCTTTGTGAAGGAACCATGGCAACGCCTCATTGGCGTGGACAAGGCCACGTCGCACAAAAAGTTCAGCCTGGTGTGCTTCTCTGTCTCCAGCCGTCATTCTTCGGCGCCGCGCTCCGGCCGTCACCCAAGAAGTCGAGCAGTACAATGGCTGACTACAGCAAGAGGCCCCAAAACGTCATGACTTTTACGGATTTCTTCTTCTGCAGAAGGTGAATCAGTGGGTGCGTCACATGAAGACGTTTAACACATCCAAGACCAGAACATTTTGTGGCCGCGCACGCTTTGTTGGGGCGAATTCACATAGAATGAGCAAAGGTCTTGCTACTCAAACTTTTGTCTTTAGCTCAGATTAAGTCATCACGTATGAAGCCCGGACATCATAGGGGGCACAAATAAATGATGCGCATAATATAAATCAGGGATGGGCAAATTTAAGGGAGGGTGCCCACAATTTGTCATCAGCACTCTTGGGGGCCACATAAGCCCTCACGCACTTCCTGAGCATTCTGACTGTGAGCGGTCTCCTCTCTATCCACACACTTGTGACTGGTCGAAGCTGCTGCCTTCTTTTCCTTCTTCTCTTTTGCCACTCAGCGACAAACAGCAAATCTCAACTGGATTGATGGAACTAATCCATGAAGTCACCTTGATGCCATATCGCATATTCTGTAGTATCACGTTACTAATCTCACCATTAAATGCCATTTCAGTTCCCTTTTATGGATCAAATTTTATTAAAACGGGGCTGGCAAAACATTTGTGCTCAAGGGCCAGAAAAAAAAAGACACATGCACTCAAAGAATTAATGTAGACAATTTTATGATCCTAAAGTTCACTTTGTTCTGCTGGTTTCACATTGTAGTACGACTCTGATGTTTTGGGTTTGTTTGGATTTTGTTTTACATTGATTTTTTTTCTTGGATGACTATAAATTGGTTGATACATTTCTCTAAAGTAGGTCTTGAATACATGAAAGAAATACAAATGGAATGTTGGGCTCCGGGGCCTGCAGACACGCCTCAATTCGTGGAGTCCAAAGTTCAAAGCAAACATGGTGAAGCCGCATTTCGCTGTTATGCTGCACACAAATGGGCTTAGCTTCTTAATTATTTACTTTGTTTTTTTTTAAATGTCTTTTGTTTGTAAGTGCATTTCAACAATATATACAGTATCTAAGTGTGTGAAGCACATTGAGTTACCTTGTCGATGAAATGCACTATAAAGCTGCCTTGCCTTGCTTGCTTACTTTTGTGTATCCTGTGGAAGTGGAGGACGTCCTATTGTGGTCAACCCTTTTAGCAGCAAAACCCCCTCCCCCTACTCCCCAGCAGCCACCCTCTTTTAGTGACCGTTGTCTTTTTTATCGACTAACACACACAAAGGACTGGGCGGCTGAGCTGAGTGCGTGTTTCGTGTTCGTGAGTATTTGTGTGTGTGTGTGTGTGTGTGTGTGTGTGTGTGTGTGTGTGTGTGCGCACACGAATGTGTGTGTGCTGTGGGAGTGTCTTCGACTGGGGCCCACGTGGAGACTGCCCTCTTTGTCGACACACTTGACTGATTAAGGCCTCCAAGTGCAGCCAAAGGAGCATTTCGTCTCAAGCTTCCACTTCTGACGGACTTTAAATGCGCCGTCTCGCTGGGCTGCTCTTTTGGGTAAACACCGAGAATCTCTCAAGGGCTTTGTTAGGGTGCCGCAGCACAAAAGAAAATAACTCACTCGCTGAAAATGTTAGCGTACTTTCACAGAGCACATCAACCCTCGCGTGTTCACAATTTCCGATTTCTTTTCCCTGTAGAACACTGGTATGAACATATTGATGAATAGTATAAATTTAAAAAAAAAAAGTAGCCACCCTGATTAATTATACTCCCAATTCGTTCCTATGGGAAAATATAGCCATTGTCTACATAGCAGGCACGGCCTACTGACCCAACAAACACGAGAAAAATAGAGGACTTTGAACCTGAAAGTTAAACAACACAACATGCAATCACACACACACACACACACACACACACACACACACACTGCAACTCAAGCAAACAGCCACTCTGAAGAAAGTGCTCCTGTGTGCCTGTGATTTTGATGCTGTTCATTTTTTACCATTTTTCTCAATGCTCATTCACTAGAGATGGCACAAGGACTGGTACTAACACTCTCTACTCTTAAGTACAAGAATAACTAAGACGATTCAAAGAAAAAGCACAGATTCAACTTGTGTGCTCAAGGAAAAATAGAAAAGCACAGACTTGAAAATGTACTTAGCTAAGAAAGTAAAAGTCGAGTCTTACTGTCCTGCAAAGACCTAAGTTTGTTCCATGGAAACACTGGTGGCTGAAAACACTCCTCCACAAGTCACCTTTCCCCACTGAAATGATTGGAAATGTCATTGAGCTCTACTAGCCCCACAAAAAACTACAATCACAAATTTTTCAAAAGCCAACATAAACTAGCAAGGTGCTCCGGACAAGCCCAACATTATAACTCCTGTTATGACACAGAAAGAGGGAGGAGGCGACCGCGGCCCAGAAACTCTTCAACATTTGATTCCAGAATGACCACGGCCTGTAACTAATATTGTATTACCATTGCTTAAAGGCTTGTAACCAGTGTGACTAGTTTCATCCGCTCATGTGAAACGAAATTTCTTGAATTTCAATGAAAAGAAGACACAAGTGATGGTTGCACATCCCATCCTGTGGACATGGGGCCCCCTGGCTCCTTATCTTAAACCAACAGTCTCCAACTTGGGTCTTCAACTGGACAGCGATTTGAAATTGGACCAGCAAATTGGTGCTGTTGTCCAATCCGGCTCCTTTCATCTTCGGCAGCTGGCTAAAGTCTAGCCTCTCCTTTCTCAAGAGCACTTTTGAGATACAGTAGTTCATGCCTCCGTCACATCACGGCTAGATTACTTTCACGTGCTTTACTTTGGAGCCAGCCAGTCCTCCATGAAGTGTCTCCAGTTGCTCCTGATTGCTGCTGCTCACCTCTTGACTGCTACTCGTAAGAGGGAGCACATCACTCCTACTCTGGCGTCCCTTCACTGGCTCCCTATACATTTTTTTTTTTTAAAAGATTCAATTTTTTGTTTTCAAATCTTGAAATGGCCTCGCCCCACCTTACCTCTCTGAGCTCTTCCGCCCCTACGAACCTGCCCGGGTGCCTCAGGTGTGTGGACCAGAGACTATTAGAGGTCATGAGAACTAAGCAGAGGTTTAGAGGGGGAGGAGCCTTTTCCGTTGCCGGTCCCTCTCTTTGGAATGAACGTTCGGCAAGCCCCCTCACTGCCCATCTTGAAAACTCCTTTTTATTCTTTGGCTTTTGACTCGATTTTTAGTTTGACTGTTTTTGTGCTTTCTGTCTTTGTTCTTAATTTGTTTTATTGTTTGTTGTATGAATTATATTTTCTCCACGTACGGCACTTTGTGTACAGCGGTGGTTGTTTTCAAGTGCTCTACAAATACAGTTGAGTTGAGTTGAGTTGAGTGAGCATTAAGCTAGCTAAGCCCCCACTGCAATTCAGCGGGCCACACTCGCACCTTGTACGTTCTGGTTTCCGATGGTCCAGGGCTCGTCCGAGTCGAAGTGCGTGTCGCCGCCCATGCCGGGCCCGGGGAAGTAAGCGTGGGCCAGGAAGCCGCCCTCGCCGTCAAATGGGGAGCTGTCGCCATGGTACCCGGACGCGAAGAAGAGCATGATGTCGGGCTCCTTTCGCCGGCCGTACTTGATCTCCTGGTAGGGGATTTCGTCGAATGTCAGCGGGGTGACGCTCTCCCACACCTTGAAGGCCTGCCGGATGGCCGCGAAGGAGTTGTACTCGCCGATCTTGGGGGTATAGTTCTGGATACTGCGGGGCCACAAAGCGGAATCAATAGAGAGTATTCAATATATTTATTTGCTTTCGTCTGCCTGTGTTTTAAATCAACTTTAAATCAACTTGTGAATAATGTCAGCTCAACTCAAATCTGACAGAAATACTTTGGCTATAACTGCACTTGGCTATAAAAGGCCGAATGTGTTTATCTCTGCAACAGACTGATGGAAAATAAAGCATTTTAATTAAATGTTGTTTGAGTTCATTTTATTCATTGGCCATAAACATCAAACAAATTAAAAAAAAAAAACATCGTGTAAAATGTTGTTGGATATTTAACGAAAGGAGAATAAAACAATAACCAAGGTTCAAGTTGTTTAGATTTGTGTTTTGTTTCAAAAAGGACAGAGCTACTACAGAGTTGTTGATTGTAGATTTATTTTCGGATTACAGTCCCGCCATTTGCAGGAGATATGGACCCACAAATGGTGGAAATCCACATTTTCTCTTGATTTTATTTTTTTTTTAAAAAACGCCAAAAATTCAGATAAACATTTGGAAATGGTGGGAAAAAAACCCCGGAAAATAACAACAACAAGAAAACAAACACTTATTGATATCTAAAAATATTAGGGAATACAACGAAAAAAAAAATTCTGCACGACTGTTTTGCGATAATACGCAAAATCACAATGACTCACCACCAGACACTTTAAAGTGCTCTCGGACTCGCTGCATGATTGCACATTTGCCATTGTAACATGATTACTTCACGACCGATCACTTTATTTATCTCGCCGTATCATTTGCACAGCTGTCACTGTTTGCGCTCATGATACCGTTACATAAGGGCGAGCTGTGCTCATGCGTTTCATCCTAAATGTTCTTTTTATCAAATTCCTCATGTGTGTTTTTTATATACTTAGCCAATAAAGATGCTTGTGGTTCTGATTCGATCGCCAACTGTGACGGGATGAAGTGTAGCTGTAGTTGCTCGATTGTGTTCTCACCTGTACGTGAGATGGTTCTTGTTCCATTTGTGACCGGTGAGGGCGTAGCGCTTCCGCCTCACGTTGGTTTTGATCTGGCCTCCAAACTTGTCAGGCACGCCACAGCGGGGTCTCTTCATGGCACTGTGGGAGGCAAACGGCAAGTTTTGATCTTTCAACATTTTGGTATCAATGTCACATTCATCTGATGTCCAAACATGAATCAGCTTTTTTTTCAGTAGGTGGGTTGTTTTTAAACTTTAAAGGCAGATATTACTGAATAAAAAGTTGTAATGTCAAAAAAGAGGGATATCATAATCTGACATTTGCTCTGAAAAAAAAAACCCAAAAACGTTCGTGTAAAAGATGACAAGTGTTATACGCTTTGACTAAAGGAAAAGTTGAACGTGCGTGCGGACCTGATGGTTTGCGGGTCCATGTGTCCGGTGACTTCCAGGCCGTAGAAACGCTGCATGTCGCTGATGGCGTTGGCCAGGATCTGCGTGGAGCGCATGGTGGACATCTGCCTGCTGGCCTGAGGAAGGTAGCCGTACATCCGCAGCCAAGACTGCACACACGACACAAAGCAGCTTTAGATAATGATTGGTTTGAATTTGATCAGTGGCAATTGCGTCAGGCTGTCAGTGTGAAAGTAGGCAGCCATTTTCGCCTCTTAAATAGGAATCCGGTGGCTTTTGCCAGCCTATATTGGGCACTCACTTAGCAGCTAGCTGCTAGCCACTATCCATAACAGCATAGTTTGAGTTTTTTTTAGCATCCTCGATTGAGCTTGACTTCAGGATGATCTTGTGTTCATGTTGGTGCCAACGGTTTGTGATGGAAATATAAACTGGGCTCTACCAATCCAGCCTCCATTGGGAAGACGAGTCAAGTAAGATGGCTCGCCACCACCCGCTGCTAGGAAACAACTTGAAAATAAATGGAGTATTTTTGGCTACGTATCGCAGTCATGCGTTGCGTTGACAATTGGCGCTGCGGCTTGCTTGACTTGACGGTGCACGTTAAATAAACGCGTACACAAGCCCGCAAAAAAAGAAAAAAAATCCTCAAGCCTTATTTTAATCGTGGGACTTAAATTACTCAAGGCCTCGTTTCACCCCTCGTTGCTTGTCTTCATGTGCCCAGTGATGACCCACATCCCTAATGAGGTCAAACGCAAGAACCATCAGTTGCATTATTTGGCTCAAAATGCCATTTCTATTCCATTCCAGTACTGTAATTTGTCACACTATGTCAAATGAGCGTGAACGGGAGAAGGCGGATGAGCGGTGTGTGAGTGAACGCGCTGTGGGGCTTGTGGCTTCAAGAGAGATTGGAGGGAGAAAATGTGATACAGTACTTGAATCACAGATGATACACCCAGCTGTTGTGTGGAAACTTAATCGCACACACACACACACACACACACACACACACACACACACACACACACACACACACACACACACACACACACACACACACCCACAGACAATGCTGAGACACTCGATAGGTTGACACTCCTGCGGGTCGCGCCCATGTGCACAATGCAAAGCGTTGCTGATAAAGCCCCATGTTGACTCAGCCACTCCTTCCATCGAGTTAAAAAAAAAATACTCAACTCTTCCTTCTCTTCTCCGTCTTTAGTTGACGCTACGTGGTTGAGTTTGACAAGAAAATATAATTACACACTAATAACACACTTGTCTAAATCATTTTCAAACAGTTTTGAAAAACAAGACATTTTTTGCCCAATAACAGCATTTCCAGTCGTTTATTAAATGTTTTTGTTGAACAAGACAGAACAAACAGATTTTATAAACAAGTCCAGTTGCCTTGATTCAACTTTTGCCATGACTGGCTGACTGAGACTCTACACAAGCACAAAGAAAAATCACAATTGGCATTTTTCTAATTGATATCGTGACAGTAAGTTAAAAATGGCTGAGGCAACTATGGTATGAGGCAAACAGATTTCATATGATTTGGCTTAATAAAAGTTGGCATGAAAAACACGCAAAACCATCGTTTCTAACGTGACTTTAGGGCGGGGGGTTGCTTCTCATTCGCCCATAAAACGAAAATTGAAATTAGGGATTCCAAAAGAGTTGACCATGAAGGAACTTCACTTGAAACTGCTCAACTTGAACCTTTTAGCAATTTGACCATCTGGCAGAGCAAATCCTTCAAGTCTTTTGTTCCCAGGACGTTTTGCCATCCATCAACTAAACGTCATCTCCGCAAAACCTCCTCGAGTTACATTTCATCACTTTCCTCTACAAATGGAGGAGAAATGCTGTCACCGTTTAGCACCTGTGCTTGGAGAAAAAAATCCAGCAAAAAGTGTGTGTGAGTTGTGTGTGAATGCATATGAGTGCACAAGAGCAGGAAGAGGCGTAGAGAAGGTTGAACTCAACATGACCCTGACCCACCTCTGCTTCCAGATAAGAGCGCTACACACAGTGTGAAATTGCACACACACACACACACACACACACACACACACACACACACACACACACACACACACACACACACACACACACACACACACACACACACACAACAAGCCAATTAAATGAGACTAGCCTAGGATGCACAGCACCAGGATCCACAAAACGGTGCCAACGTCCTGGCTCATAAGAACGTAGTACGAAGCAGAAATGTGGATTTGAGTTTGATAGCTTGCTTGACTAAAAAATAGATTAATAGCTCGACTTGACTTCAACTTGCTTGCATTTGAAATTTTGAAATCTCAAGATAATATGCATTTTGATTTGTGTATGAAAGGGTTCGGGCACCAACTCTACATTTGGATTCCAGGATTGCGTTTTGGAGAACAACAACAACAAATGAACTTTATAAGTCATTCAAATCAGGTAAGCTACGTTAACTGGAGATTTGGGCTAACAATAGATTCTCAACTCAACTCAACTGCATTTCTAGAGCACTTTCAAACAGCCGTCGCTGAATACAAAGTGCTACACATGGAGCAACTATTATATATACAACAATAAAGCAATAGGTGACCTAAGATTCACATAATAATAAAAGTAATTCGTGCGACAATATTGCGAGACGATGTGGGCTAGCTAACAGCTAACTAACGCAAGCACTGGTAGCCTACTTTTTGTAAAGGGGCTAATACGTGAATGTATGTTGGGACGGGAATTTCATTACTGAATTGCTTGACTGGAGTTATGACAATATTCGACTTAGAGTAGCTCGACTTATGGTGGGAATTCCACTCAGCTAGCTTGATTTCTGCCACAGTGAATAATTTTGCCAGTTTTTTTTTGGGGGGGGGGGGATTCCCCTCTGAAGCAGTGTAGGGCACTTCAAAGCAGACGACGCGAATGCTAACAGTCTAAAGTTCACAAGGACTGCTCTACTCTTGTCCATATTTCATCTGGCCTGTCTGGGAACGGAACAGAGCGGAGAAAGCCCTTTCGGCGGTGACGCTGCACAGCAGCTGCTCGCGATCCCAAGGCGCCCCGTGGGAGAAAGAAGGAGCGGGTGTGTCGCGTTTCACTTCCACAACTCAAGTCGCTGGGAAAAGAGAAAGCGCGACCGTCTGCTTGAGAAATGACAACCATAAGGTCAAACCCATTCAAACGCCAGCACGCTGAATTTGACTATGTGGTGTGCTTCTGAAATGTGGACGCAGCAGATTGGGAAAGAATTTGAATGGAAGGCAAGTCGAGACTTCTTGTTTGAGGTTGAACACATTTCCCATTTCTCGCGAAGGAGTGGCAACCGCAAGGTCCAAAAACTCCAAAACAACATCGACGTATATTAGAGAAATAGAGATGATATGATGATGAACTACGGTCTCAATATGGCGCCGAAGAGGCCCCTGTGACAGATTTTTCAGCGGCTCACGACATGACCAAAAAAAAAAAAAAGAGATTCGGACAAATAGTATTCGACATGGGCCGCAAGGTTAGTTACAAAAGGTGAAAGTGGTTCCAAAAACTTGGAAAAATCCTCAGCTATTTGCCTTCACACCTTGAAGTGAAAGCTGATGAACAATCCAAACAAGAGACAACTGCTTTCTTGAGCGACTTTAGTGTGTTTCAAAAAGTTGAAGAATTTTACAGTGGCCGTTTCATCCTTGCATTTTTTCCGTATGCGGCCCTCCAACGGAAAAAGTTTGGACGCCCCTGCCTTACATGATGTAAATGTGATACATTTGAGGTGTTTGGATGTTACCGTAGATTTCGAAAAGCTGCCGTGACGGGACAGCACCTGGTTGAGAGTCGGCCGACAACTCGCCGTTGGCCGTCATCGGCCTGCATTCCGGCCGGCGTGTATTTACGGCACGATGGTAGCGTACCTCCCTCTCTACGCCCCCTTCCCATACCACACACGCATCACGCGCCTCGTCGAAAAGCATCAAGTCTGGACGCTGATCTTCCCTCATCAGAATACAAAACAATCATTCCTCGGCGTGTACGCACGCGCCCGCGTGTACATTTGTGAGTGTGTGCGTGTGTGAGGCCCCATCGATTAAATGTTCTTTCAGAAAGTCCTTGATCGTACCTGCCAAAGCCGGCAATATACTGGGAGTTGTAAAAAGCTGGAGTGTGTGCTTGAGTGCATGTATATGTGTGTGTCCGCCACAATGTCAGCCAAGATACGAACACAGCTTTTATTTTGAGGTTTGGTCCGCTGCCATCTGTACTCGCCGCAGCCAGCACCCAGCGCACCGACTTACCCTCTAAATGTCCCAGGAGGCGGGCAAGTGGAGGGATGACGGGCAAGTGGAGGGATGAGAGGAGCGGGAAGGAGTCGGAATGTTGGACAGCTTCTCAAATTTGTTGGGCCTCGGGACCCCTGATAGCTCGTGTTCGTCCTGCCACCAGGTAACTGGAGCATGTCACAAACAGAATGGGAATAATTCAAGAGTTTGCGCGTCACGATTTCCTCCTTGATTGCCCCGTGCCATTGTGCTGCTGCTTTTGGTGTGTGTGCCTACGCCACCAGGGGGCAGAGTAATACATGCAAAATAAATACAGAAAGACGAGGGTCATAACTGCTGTCATGAGGAATCTGTTCAAGTTTGACTTCGCCGTCTGAAGTGGACTGCTGAGGTGTTTGAACAACAATGCCATTTGTAAATGGAAAACATCCATCAAGTGGAGCCTTTTAAAAGTCAAGCACAACGTCATTCATAACACTCAAGTCAATTTGGTGGGTGCGGCTTGAACTAAAAAAAGCTGTCCCAAGGGCAGACTGAATTCCACTGGCATCGTGAGCAGGAATCCTCAATAGAGTGTTGGCGCGCCGATCAGACAGCGGTGACGCACCGCTGTCTGCCCCCAAATGCCGTAGGAAATAAAAAGTAGCCCATTTTTTTGGGCGGGGGGGTTTTTGGGTGCATGTCGCCAGGTGATGATAACAACTTCACTTTTTGGAGAAAAAAAAAGATAAAGTTGGATGTTGTCAAGAAAATAAAGCCATCAATTTTTTTCCAAGAACAAGGAAGAAGCGTTCTCAGGTAACAAGTCAAAATCTCGCGGGAATGAAATTACGTCGTAATATTTTCATATTAAAGTCAAAAGGGGAAGATCAGTAAAAGGTTTTCTTTTCAATAAAAACTGGCCTAAGCACGACATTGTGATTAATAGCACAAAACACGAGTCAAGCAGCGAAAGGCACCCGTTTTTATCCGTCTGAAAATGACACCGCCTGCTCAGGGCTCAGGTCGCAACGGTCACAGCTCGCCCGTTTTCTGGATTTGGTCATGTGACATCCGCACGCTGAGCCTCTGGGCACTGTCATGTCATTTTCATTCGACAGCACGTGGCAAAATGGTCGCCCATGTGATGGACCGAAACAGGGGGATCTTCCACAAACACAATGTTCATCAGAATTTTGCATTTAAACTCATGGGACTTTTTTTAATGCTAATTTAGTCGAAATGTGTGAATAAGTCCCCAACAGAACAAACCTTTACGGTGAACAAATTGGTGCCTGTCCACAATTGCATCACCGAAACAACGCAGCAACTAATTTGAGCGCTCAGCAGCTCACGAGCGCTTATCGGGTTTCGTCCTCTCGACTTCTTTGCTCAAGTTTGCTCTCACACTCGTTTGTGCCTTGACACAAGAGGAGCCATTGTCTTGCCTCGGATGCCCCCCTCCCCCCCGTCACTACCCAGCATGCCTCTGCACTGTGTGCGGGCGCGCGTGCGTGCATCACATGATCTACAGATCAGACTGGCCGCTGTGATTGTGAGTGCGGATGGTTGTTCGTCGATTTGTGCCCTGCGATTGGCTTGCCACCAATTCAAGGGGAAGCCCCGCCTTCTGCTCGATGACAGCTGGGATAGGCGCCGGCACGCCCGCGACCCGCCTGAGGAGAAACAGTTCCGAAAATGGATGGATAGTTGGATGTTTATTATCACTAGAAGTGCATATACACACACACACACACACACACACACACACATACACACACACACCTGGTGTCAGTGTTCTCTCGGTATGTCCTGAGTGGGATTTGGGGTCAAAGGCCATTCCAGATGACAATCAAGCGCTCTCGCTTTCAATCAACGACGACGGGGCGCTCTTTTAAAAAAAAAAAAAAAAACAAGCAGCCTGCCGGGCGAAGAATTAGGTTTTGGAGTCTTCAGCAATATCACCGTTTGCTGTCGCAGCATAAATCTGTTTTGTGTTTTGGAGCCACGATGCTTGCATGTCCCGTTTTGAACGTACGAGCGAGCATGCCCGGGCATATCGGCCGTTTAGCTGGTGAAATGTGCTGACTATGCAGTAATGTGCTGGAGTGACATGTGGAATAATTTGCATGTGCAAAAAAAAAAAAAAAAAAAAAAGCTCAGTCAATAAAAATCTGTACTGTCAGGCAAGTGTAAAAAGACGCTAACTGACACATGCCAAAAAAAAAAAAAAAACATGACAATGACTGAAATGGATTCCTTTTACTTTGAAAGTGACATCACTTCAGCGTTTGATGCTCACAGGACTGAGCTCTAATGGCTTCATTGAAATCAATTACTGTCTATAATTTTTAATAGCATGTTTATAAATGAATCTTTTACATTGTCGCTCGATAAATCAAGGATGATTAATGACATGCTTTCCAATGTCGTGGTTTACAAATACTATCCAACAATGATGAATATTCATAAGTTAAACAAATGGCGAAATCACAAAGTTGACAATGAACAAAAAATAAATATGGAACAATGAAATGCTCAATGTAAGCATAATAAGCATAAATAAATATAACTATCAGTCATATATTTGTAATTGACATTATTTTGACCGTGCTGGCTCGTGTGGCAGGTCTATCTAATGGTGTGTCCAGCAGTTGAATTCCGTTGTTGCGGACACAGATAAACACACACTGATGCACGCCCTTACACGCACACTCTCACGGGCGCGTGCATGTGCACAATACGTTCATTAAGCAACAATTGTTTGGGGAGTTGCTCATCAGTCCACACATTGTGCAAAGTCAACTCTGTCTTTTGTCTGACATGGACACACGTACGCACGCACGCGCGCGCGCACACGCAAACACTGGAAAGGAAAGGAGTACTTTCTGGCACTGTGCTGACTATTTAATGCCTTTGATATTCTGACATACGCTATAACAAATAAAGCGCGACAACGTGGGCTCCCTCTAGCGGTAGAGGAAAGAATCGCTGCACACCGACAGCAGTTGCGTTCAACGCCAAAGTGAACTTGTTTGTTTTCAAACCTTGATCAAGGGATCGTGTTTTATGCGCAGAGCGAGGATGAGCGGTGCTGAAAATGAATGAATGAAATCACAATTGAAGGGAGCGCAAGTCATTTGCTGGTTTTCCCTACTCGCTCTTGCGCTGTTCCTATCCTCCAAGGGTAGTGGTGGTCAACGTACATGTAGTTCTTAAAAAGTGTTGCTTTTAAATGTTCATTAAAGTCCCATTTTCACTTCAACTTTTGTGTGCAATACCCTTGAATGTAATCACATTTTAGTTCATGACACCCTGTTAGATAGTCTAACTGTGTGTAACGTTACAATATTAAATACAATATTGAAGAGTTTTTGTCCTCTATGCAACTGAATTTTTGGTGTTTTGAGGAATACAAAAAACAAGTCACAAACCATTGTGGCGGGTACCCCGTGGGATGCGTTGTGTTGGTCTACCACCCACATTCCCGTTTATTGTTCTTGGTAGGCTTATTTTCGGCGCAGGTGAGTGCGACCCGAGGACATGAAGTTGGCCAGTTGGCCTTCCTACCTCCGAGTTGAAGCCGCCGCCGCCGCCGTCCGCGTCCTCCTCTTCGGCTCCGCGCGCCCCGAGCGCGCAGACGCACACTGCCAGGAAGAGGCTCCGTCTCCACAGCAACCGGGGGGAAGAGCCGGCCATGGTCCGCTGGTTGTCGGTGGGGTCGTTGCAGGAGCGGTGCAATACGGTGAGCGAAGCGAGTACGGGGTTGGGGTCTTTCTTGTAGACGGCAGAAAAACGCGGCAGGACAAGAGCCGACTAAAGGTCGACCTGCATGCCGGGAAGCTCCGTGTCAGCGGGTGAGATGGGCTGAGCCTCCATGGAAGGGGTCTAGCTACTGTTTATCACAAGCGGGTTGAAGTAGGCAAAGCAACCTTGCAACAACAACAACAACAACAAAAAGTGCACTTTGAACGAGTTTGTTCCTGAGGACTTCCTCCTCCCGAGATAAGAAAGCGTCACTGAGACGAAAACGTAAGAAACCCCACCGCACCTGAGCCCCTAATTGGCAACGTGAGCGTTTTGTCGCCTTCAATAATGCACTTTGTAGTCGTTGCAACGTGGGAAAAAACAAAAACAAGAACAACAACAGCTCGCGTGGGCTAACACTCGCTTCACGGTCCGGAGTCAAAAGCTCTTATTCCGCCAGCAGGACGAGCAGGACAGCGAGTAGGCGACTGATGAGCTGCGCGTGAGCGTGTCTTTGTCAAGCTGAAGGGAGCCCGCAAAAAAGCGTGACCAACCGGAAGCAACGTGTGGCGGGTGACTGTCAAAATAAAATCAAGTTCCGCAAAATCCCGTGCAAAATAAACGACCACTGACAGTGTTTTTTTTTTCTGGCACTTGACAGTATGAGAAATAAAAAAATAAGAAATAAGAAATCATAGAAGTATTAAATATAACATTTTTCATAACTTTATTTTTCAATATATCATGTTTGCAATTGTGCTGAATATTTGTAGTTTTATTTCCAGAAAATATAATGGTTATTATAAGTAATTAATGCTAAATAATACGATACTATTATCGTATCGTATTATTTAGTATCAGTTGTGACTTCAAAAAACATATATATATATATTTTATATATAGAGAGAGAGAGAGAGAGAGAGAGAGAGAGAGAGAGAGAGAGAGAGAGAGAGAGAGAGAGAGAGAGAGAGAAAATCAGAAATCAAATGTTTAAAAAAAACTCTTTGAGAGCTTCGTATGAAATCCAGTTCGGACATGTTCAATATTGAAGATCACGCCCCGTACGTACATGCAGGTACATGTATTGACAATACGCAAAATCTGAGTCGAAAGAGTACGATTCCTTTTATTTTGCAAGACGGGCTCTGACTGAGTAGGGGGGGAGCCGACATCAACAACCTTTGTGTGCAGGGAGGTGGTGTGCAGCATGGAACCACACACACACACACACACACACACACACACACACACACACACACACACACACACACACACGCGCACATATAAATCGCAAGACA